CCACCCACCCGTCCGTCCGTCCGTCCGTCCGTCCATCCATCCATCCATCCATCCATCCATTTGTTTTCTACTCATCTGTTCATCTATATCTACTATCTGTCCACTATCTATCTGTCCACTCTCCATCCATCCATTGAACCCATTATCCACCTGCACTCATCCTAGGTGCTTATTGAGCACCCACTATGTTCTAGGTCCTATTCTAAGGCCCTGTGAACCACCAAGACCTTCCTCAGTCCCAGATCTGTGGAGTGGACTCCTCAGATCTGTGGAGTGCAGATCAACAGAGTCCCTCCCCGCCTGGCTCATACCCAGCCTGCCTTGGGAACACGAATGCCTGTGCTCTATGCTCAGAGCACCAACCTTCACTCATTAGCACGTCCTGGCGGCACCTGAGTACCTGCCAGCCATGGTGTGGTGTCCCAGGAGGCTTGAGGTGCGGTGTGATGTCCCTCCTGGGGTGAACTGGCCCTGAGGAGCTGGTGTACAGGCTCAGTACGCAGGAGGTGTGTGAGAGGCTGATGAGCACGCCGGAGAAAGTAATGCAAGTTAGGGGCGAGGATTCTGTTACTGCTCCTCACTATGTTTGTGAGGTGTGATCGAAAACTGTTTTCTTTCCCTATTCTTTTCTTCCCTCCCTTCCTTCTCTCTCTCTCTTTCTGAGACAGTGTCTCACTATGTAGTTCCCGCTGGCCTTGAACTGGTGGAGATCCTCCTGCCTCAGCCTCCTGAGTGCTGGGGTCACAAGTGTGCATCACCATACCCAACACTATAGTGAATGTTTAAATGAAAAAAAAAGTATTACAGTGAAGACACACTGCCACTGATCCCCCTCAAAATACTTCCCCTTGCTTCAAACACACTTATCCCACAGTTCTTGCCACTTGCAAGTCTGGAACTCCTCTGTTGTGTCTTTAGTTGTGTTGTGGCTGCCTCATTGTCCTGAATGGATTCACGTTTACCTTTCATGGTCGTTTTGATTTAGGGAAGAGCTGGAAGACTCATGGTGCCAGATCCCATGCATAAAGCAGATGAGGATGCCCTGTAGTGTCTTCATTTGACAGGATTGCCATAAGCTTTTTTTTTTTTTCTTCTTTTTGAGACAGGGTCACTCTGTGCACTTCAGGCTGGCCTTGAGCTCACTTTGTAGCTCAGGCTTGTCTCAAACTTGCAACAAGCCCCCTGCCTCAGCCTCCCGAGAGCTGGGATTACAGGTGTGCGCCACCACACCCGGCATGCTGTAAGCTTTTGATCAATGATGGGTGACCAAAAATATAGTGAATATATTTAAATAAAAATGTTTTAGCTGGGTGTGGTGCACATGCCTGTAATCCCAGCACTCGGGAGGCTGAGGCAGGAGGATCATTGCAAGTTGGAGACCAGCCTAGGTTACAAAGTGAGAGCAAGGCCAGCCTGAGCTGCATAGTGAGACTCTGTCTCAAAAAAGAAGAAAAAAAACCCATTTACAGTAAAAGATGCATTGCCATGATTTCCCCTCAGAATACACCCACTCACTTTAAACACACTTAATATCATTCTTGGGATATGTCTTTCACTGTGATAAGTTTTATTAAAAATTTAGATATGCACTGCATATTTTGATCACTATATATCTCTTATCTGGGAGCTGACAAAATGAGGTTTTAACTTTTTTTTTTGAGACAGGCTCTCACTATATAGTTCATACTGGCCTTGAACTCAGTGAACCTCCTACCTCAGCCTCCTGGCTGCTGGGTTACAGGTGCATGCCATGTCCAGCAATTTTTAAAAATTTTAAAACTTATTAATACATGTTTGCTGTACATAATAATTGCATGAATTACATACATCGTGGGATGTTTACATGGATTTTTAAAAACTTAACCTCCGGCTAGCTCCTTGTCAGCATTTCTGAGAAAACTGGGAGAAGAGGGTCCCGCTTCCCTGTCAGCCCAGCACGTGTGCACGTGTGTGTGCATGCACACACGCCTGTGTTTGCAGTACTAGCGATAGCACCCATGGCCCTGCACTTGTTACGGAAACAGTTTGCCATTGAAACACAGGCCCAGCCCCTTTTTTTATTTTGAGACAGGGTCTTAGTAAGTTATCTAGGCAGAGCTCAAACTTGCCATCCTCCTGCCTCAGCCTCCTGAGCGCTGAGGATTATAGACGTGTACCAGTGAACCAGCTTCTCATGTTTTATATGTGGACCTCATTGGGAGAGAGAGGTCCATGTTTCAAGCAGGTTTGTGTGACATTTCACCCCCCTTCCTGTCGCAGGAGGGTGGTCCACTCAGTGTACACACCCCCTGGACTGAGGGCTCACGACACTGCACCCAAGTGGCTCTGGATGCAGTTATTCTCAGGAAGGGCTTTGAATCAGGACCAGGTGGCCTTGTCTCCCTCCCCCGCCCCAAGCCGGCTCTCCCCAGTGTAGACGACCTGTGTCCTACCCTGCTCCCCTGCCTTCCACTGCACACCCTGGCCTCACAGCACCCCCCACCTGCCCCGGGTCTCCAGCACCGCATGTGGGATATCGGCTCCTGCTGAGGGCCGGTGCCAAGCAGCCACAGTGCGAACAGAGGGCATGGAGGAAGGCAGATGGTGACGGAAATCCTCCAAGGGTCTTTGCTTCATAAATATATATTTTTCTTTCTCAGTGAAAAAGTGCACATTAGAAAAACGAGTTAGGGTGGAGCCGGGCTTCCTGGAGAACGGATGAGACAGGGCTCAGTCTCGGATGGGGAAAGCCTGGGGCAGGACCACCTTGCATGGGGGACCCCTGTGCCACCCTGCTCTGGGGGACCTGATGAGTTACTTGTGACCGAGGACATTCACAGAGTGGTCACACGGTCCCCCAAGAGGTCCAGGTCACAGTCTCGCCGGTGACATTAAGGGGCCACCAGGGATAGGAACACCCCAGACCCCAAGTCCTGTTCAGGGTGAGGGCACCGGGCCGGGTTCTCCCTTGGGCATCCCGTTCATGCCCAGCTGTTCCTTGAGCGCCTGCAGCTGGGCCAGGCTGATGTTGCTGCCCCCACAGACGATGACCACGAGGGAGGGCAGCGGGGCCTGCAGCTTGCCCTCGGCCTGCAGCCTCCTGACCACGTGGCTGTAGACTGCGGCCAGAGCTGCCCCGCAGGCGGGCTCCACCAGGATCTTCTCATCATCTGCAGGGAAGGGGCAGTCCAAGGGGACCTTCAGGCTGTGGGCGGAGCCGGGGGGTCACGAGCCAATCAGCTCTCAGCTCTTACAGTGGGCTCAATTCCTGGACCAAAACTCCCTTCATGATCCTCAAAGCCCAAGCCGGGCTAACATGCATAAAGATGGTTGCGATTGGGGACAGTGTTAAGGAGACCTCTGAGGCATGGGCTGAGCACGTGTCAGAGTTAATTAGCCAAGTCAGCTTCAGGCTCAGCGGAATTACACGGTAGCATAAGTACTACCCTGCCCCCCGCCCCATGGTAGCGGGAGTTGAACCAGGGCCGTTCCCATGAGCTGCATGTCCAGCTCTTCTCTTTGGAGACAGGGTCTCACTGTGTAGTTCAGCTGGTTTTGGACTCACTATGTAGCTCAGCTGGCCTTGAAATTGCAGTGATCCTCCTGCCTCAGCCTCCTGAGTGCTGGGATTATAGATGTGTGCCTCCACATCAGGCTTCATTTCTTTTCTTTTCCTTCTCTCTCTCTCTCTCTCTCTCTCTCTCTCTCTCTCTCTCTGTCCTTTGTTATCCCTGTTTTAGGCTGAACTCAGAAAGAGTTCAGTTACAGTAGCACCACCAAATCCAACTCTGTGACCCATCCTTTCCTTTTTTACCCTGGCTACCAGGAAGCTCAGAATCAACAGTCTGAACATTCAGTTACTGTTCCCCACCATCATGGTTCCCAGGCTCCCTTCTTCCTGAGTGGCTTTAGTGCTTCTATTTTCACCTTGGCAGCGCTGTATTATCCATCACTAATGGGATGTCCTAGGCAGGGATGTATCAGAACGGAAAACTAGGGGTGATAGGATCCCGTGGTACTTGGGGAGGGCTTGGGGACCCCGCACATACCTACAAACTTCTCAATGGCAGCCACGGCCTCCTGGTCGGAGATGACCTCAGAGAAGATGGGGTGTTCTTGAAAGAGCTTGAGGGCCTGCATGCTCACTGTGTTCACGCCCAGGGCCTTTGCGACGCTGGGGAGGGAGGGAGGAGGTGGAAAGGTGGGTGGAAGGCAGCTGTGCGGGCCCAGAGGAGGCCCAGGAGCCTCTGCAGCTGTAGGGGCTGAAGCCCTAGCTCCGGGGCGCCTGGAGTCCAGGGAGGCACAGGGTGTTTGACCTGGGTAAAGGGCATCGTATTGTGCTCTACACTGACCCAGAGGGGGCTGGGGATATAGCTCAGTGGTGTAAGCGCCTGCCTGGCAAGCACAAGGTCCTGAGTTCAATTCCCAGTATCAAAAAAAAAAAAGTGAAAGGATACACTGACCTGGAGTAAAGGCCCCCAAGGATTCCCCTTTCCTTCCCCCAGGGCCTCTCCGGGATCCCCCTCACTGAGCCTGCCACTTCCAGGGGTCACCCAGCCCTGCAGCCTCAGGAGGGATTCTCCAATGGCCTCCCCACCCTAGCTAACTTGGTTCGTGCTTCCTGAGGAATCATAGGTGCCAACCCTCCACAGCATGACCTCCTTCCATCTGTGCTGTTACGAATTGGCTTGACTTTATAAAGGGGAAATAGGCCGAGTGTAGAATTACGTGCTCAAGGTCACATGTCAAGGGAGTGGTGGCCTTGGACCCTTGAGCCGGATCCTATAACTCCAAGCCCTACACAGGGCAAGATGGCCTCACCAGGGTGACACCAATCCTGTTCCCAGTTCATCTCCTTAAAGAGGCCCTGGACATCTTGAGGGCCTGGCCCGCCTTGGTCCTGAGACAGCCTATGGCTCGCAGCAATGGCTTCTTCTATCCCAACTGTAGGGGTGTGAGGCCAGCACAGCGGGTTCCAGTTGCTGGGCTCAGAAATCTAGATATTCTTTTTTTTTTTTTTTTTTTTTAATTGGGAATTGAACTCAGGACCTTGGGCTTGCCAGGCAGGTACTTGTGCCAGTGAGCTATATCTTCAGCCCAATCTAGATATTCTTACTGGACTCAGTCTTCCCTATCTGTGGCAGGGACTGTTCTAGCCACACATGGGTATGCCTAGTAGACACACTTCCCAGCATCCCTTGCAGCTAGGTGTGGTCATGTGATTAGGTTCTGGCCAATAAGAGACAAGAGGAAGTACAGTCCCTGATTTAGGATGGGTTGTCTGCCATTTAGCACCTTTGTGATGGTGCAAAAGTGATGTGAATTCTGTAGAAACTGTACTTCCAAGTTTCAATTTGGACCTTTTCCCAGGTTAGCAATCTGCACTATAATTCACTCTGGCAGTGCTGGACAGCAGCAGTCAGTTGTTTGATCACGGAGGGAAATAACTGACACTATGGTGGACTGTGTTGCTAGGTAAGGTTAGGGGTATTCAGGTCATTTTTGACTTTATGAAAGACAGGTTTATTGGGATGCAATCACATTGTAAGTAAAAGAGTAGCTTTATTTTGTCTGCCTTTAAAGGTTGGGGCATAGCCTGCTGCCCCTTGCTTTCTCTTTCCTGACAGATGGAGTGCGGATGTGGTAGCTGGCACTCCAGCAGCCACTTTTCATACGGATGATGAGGCAATAAACTCAAGGAACCTGGGCCTCTGACTTCCTGGAATTCCCCCTGGACTGCCTATTTCTGGACTGTTTTCCAGAAGACGGACATGAAGGTCAATCGTATTCTGAGCTCCTGTGTGAGGTGGCCTACACCTCATTCTAAGATTTGGGCCCAGGACTGGGACTCCTTGGGAGCAAGAGCTGTTTATTTATCAGTCTCTCTCCAGTACCGGCTCCCTAGCCTCAGTTTCCTCCCTTGTAAAACGGGGCTCCTCCCCCACGTTCTCACCTAGTGATCTTGGGCAGGGTCACGAGCTTGCCCGCGGCGGTGGCGGCGTGGAAGCTGTGGGCGCCGATGGTCTCCATGGCGATGACGGGCACGTCCCCCCAGCCCACCTCCTGCAGCCCCTGGACCACACCGCACAGCAGGCCCCCGCCGCCCACCGACAGAACGATGGCGCCCGGCTTTGCACTCAGCGCCTCCTTCAGCTCTCTTACGACGGACGTGTGGCCTTCCCTGGAGGACAGGGGGCGGTGGCAGCTCAGGGCTGGGTTTCCTGTGGGCACCAGGATGGCGACCTAGGGATGGCAGCTTAGCGGGGGGCCTCCGGAGCTTCCTGCACACGTGCCTCTGGTCAGCAGATGGCGCTCGTGAGAGCTGCCCCGGCCGGGGACCAAGGAGAGGGTGCCTGAATCCCCCACTGCGCACGCGCGCTCTGCTCGGGCTGAGGGTTCCCAGGCACCGAGCTGCGGCTACCCACAGCGGTCGCCTAGCACCCAGCGCCCCTTTCACCGGGGTCACCTCCCTAAGGAACTGGCTGCTGTCCCCGGCTTGCGCCTTGGGACCCCGCTGCTGGCACGTGCGTGTGCGTCCTGCGCTGAGTCCGCTCCTGGACGCATCTCGAGGGCCACCGGGAGAACTGGTCGGTGGCCTCCTGCACCGCAGACGCCCGTCCAGGGGTGGGGGTGGGGTGGCCCTGAGCTCCACTCACCAGATGAGGGGGTCATCGAAGGGGGGCACGAACATCCAGCCTGGGTTGTTTTTGGCCAGCGCCTTGGCCAGCACAAACGCTTCCTCTAATGTCTGCAGGGTCACGGGGAGCGGCAGGGGTGAGGCCGTGGGGACCCTGTGCCCGCCAGCCGCCCTCTCCGCCGCTGCCCGGGCCGACACACACCTCGCCCACCACCTTGACGATGGCACCTTCGTCCTTCAGCCTCTGGACGGTGAGGGAAGGCGTCGTGCTGGGCACCACAATGGTGGCGGGGGTGCCCAGCTTCCTGGCGGCATAGGCCGCGGCCAGGCCTGCATTGCCCGCTGTTGGGGGGGACGGGAAGTTGTGTCCACACGGGGGCTCTGGGTGGCTCTAGGCCCCCGCCCCCCGCCACCCTGGGTGACCACTGGATGCCCAGGACTTCGATCTGGGGCTGCTGCGAATGTGTGAACAGCTCATCGCTGGGGAAACCCGACCTAGAGAGGCAAAGGGCCAGTCCGGGACACAGCTGAGGACAGGAGGGAAGCGCTCACTTACCCGAGGAGCAGACAAAGTGCTCGCAGCCCTGCTCAGCCCACTGCGGAGACGGGAGAGAGGGGTCAGGCCCGCCTCCCACGGCACCCAGCTCCTCGTCTCTTCCTGCCTCCCCCTGCTTCCTCCTCCAGCGGGAGCTGGCCCCGCCCTCGCCTCAGATATGTCCTCCTCCCTGAGACACAGCTCGGCCCGGGGATCGGCCGGTGGAGGCCTCCTGGAGCAGCACCTCCGGCCATCAGGAGCCCCGATGTGAGTCACGGGACCTCCCTAGTGCTCCTTAGTCAGCAGTAGCCACGCCCCTCAAGGAGGGGTCCTGCCACCCCCACCCAGGCACTCGGACCCTGGCCTGTACCTTCTTGCAGAGGTGCCCGATGCCCCGGATCTTGAAGGAGCCGGAGGGCTGGGCGTTGTCCATCTTGAGGTAGACACTGGTGCCGGCCACTTTGGACAAGGCCATGCTGTCACGGAGGGGCGTCCTTATGTGCAGGGGCTCCGCGGATGCCATCGCTGGGAGGAGGAAGCCCAGGGGTCAGGACAGGGTCCAGACGCTGGCAGCAGTACCCGGGAAGCAGTGTGACCCTCTCTTCACGCCCCAGGAGGAGAGCGAAAGGTCCCGGAGACTTGGGTGCACTCCTCTACAGGAACGCCACTCGCCCTGTGACATCGATGGGCGAGCTGCGCTCTGAGACCGCTCGCTGTCTGTCAAACAGGGACAGGCATCACCCCACGCCTGCACCGAAACAGCGCCGGCCCTGACGGGTGGGCGAGGAGGGCTGGAGCCGGCGCTCAGCTGGGCTTCGTGGTGGTTTCGGGCGCGAAGCATGGGCAGGATATTGTGCTCCTCTGCTTATACAAAGGTGCGAGAAGCCCTCGAATGCGCGCGCGCGCACACACACACACACACACACACGGGTGCACACACGCACACTTTCTCTCTCACACCCCACACGCTCCTGTGGCAGCTCAGGAGACGCTCAGGAGACAGCAGTTGGGCTCGGGAGCCGGCCCTCAGGTCGAGCAGCCCTGGTGCCATTTGAAGGCTTTGCCTGGAGCCTGGAATGCTTATTGCCACACACAAATTCTTACAAATGAATCACTGGACACCCCAGTAGTTAGTTAGGGAAAGCATGTGGTGTTTTTTTTCAAGTGCTAGGGATTGAACTCAGGGCCTTTGCATTGAGCCACACCCCCAACCCTTTTAAATTTTTGTTTTGAGACAGAGTCTTGCTAAGTTGCTCAGGGTAGGCTCGAACTTGTGATCCTCTTGCCTCAGCCGCTCTAGTTTGGGGATTACAAAAGGTATGTCCCACATAGTACCTATCACTATATATATATATATATATATATATTTTTTGGTTTTGAGACAGGGTCTCACTGTGCAGTTCAGGCTGGCCTTGAGCTCACTTTGTAGCCCAGGCTGGTTTCAAACTTGCAACGATCCTCCTGCCTCAGCCTCCCGAGTGCTGGAATTACAGGTGTGCGCCACCACGCCCTGCGTACCTATTATTATATTAAGTTCACACCCTTATCCATACGCAATGCTTAGCAGGCAGGTCCTGCCATTAGCCCCATGTTACAAATGAGGAAACTGAGGCACAGTGGCTGCCCCACAGAGCTCTGTCCCTCTTCCTCTGAGAAGCCGCTCCAGTCCCCAGGCAGTGCGGCTCTGGGATGCAGTCGAGGACCGGACCACTTACCCGGCACTGGTGAAGCAGCAGGGACAGCTGGGGAGAGGGAGGGACGCAGCGCTGTGCACGGAGCTGCCTGGCTCCTCTGCTCCAGGGTTTATTCCCCTGGTGCGGCGGGCCAGCCAATGAGGCTCTAGGGGCGGCCCCGCCCCGCCCCCCGCCCCGGGTCCCGCCTGGGGGCTCGGGTCCTGGCCGGGCGCCGCCCTCGCCCACTCCTGCCCCATCCGTTTTTGAGGCTGCAGACGGGGGCAGTGCCGCTCCCCGGGGGCCTCAGGAGGCTGCGTGAGGAGCAAGGCGACGCGCCCCTAGGGGCCGGGCACCGGCTCGGTGGGTAGGAGGTGCCCGAGAGCAATCATGAAATAATGACAACACGGTACACCGGCGCGAGTCACTGCCGCTGAGTCCTCACCCGGCTCCAAACCCCGGAGGAGGTGGGCACTGTTGTCGCCATTGTCTTCCAGAAGGGGAAACTGAGGCACCGAGGCTGTCCGTGCCCCAGGTCACAGAGATGCTGAGGAGCAGGCGATGGCAGTCTGGCTCCGAAACCCGCAGTCCAAACACAACTCTCAGCGCCCTCCTCGTCCTCCTGAGGCTCTGGACCTAAAGGAGCAGAGGGGTTATGGTTGAAATCCTGGCCACGGGAGGCTGAGGCAGGAGGATCATTGCGAGTTCGAGATCAGCCTGGGCTACAAAGTGAGCTCAAGGTCACCCTGAACTGCAGAGCGAGACCCTGTCTTAAAAAGAATCCTAGCCAGGTCCGTTAACCGCGTGGCTTCAGCCTCCACCAGACTTCGCCTGTCCCAAAGTCCCTGTATGTCTGCTCACGCGCATGCGCACTTGCGGCCCGGCTGCTCCACTTCACAAAGCCCTCTGGTTAACTGGGGCCAGAAATGGCGATGAGACCTAGGGAAGGCGGGCCACCCATGGCTCCCACAGCCACCCCCCCCAAGTTGTCTCTGTCACCGTCCCCTCCCCAGCCCCTTCCTGAGGGCCACCGCGGGGTGTGCAGGGGGGACCCCGGTGCCAAAGCTGCGGTGACACAGGCGCTTTGGAGCTCACGGGTAGCGCGGCCTCCCCCAGGCGAGGCTGCGTGTGTGCGGCTGGCGCCCACCTGCCGCACCCTGGCACCACTCCCATGCCCCCGACTCAGGCTTTGTTGCTGTCTCCAGCCACCGTGGTCCTGCAGTCAGGGAGGTGGGCCGGGCGTGACAGCTGTCCCCTGTCCTGTTGTCGCCATTGTCCTGGGACGTTAACTGATGCACCCAGGCAGGGCTGTGATCTAGTGTGTGAGGACACGAAGACGAACCTTTTCTTTAGACCTCTCTCTGGTTCCAGAATGGAAAACATCGAATTATGAAAACAGATCATAGTCGGATGCAGTGGCACAAGCCTGTAGTTCCAGTACTTAGGAGGCTGAGGCAGGAGGATCACTTGAGCCCAGGAGTTCAAGGCCAGCCTGGGCAACAGTGGAACTCCATCTCAAAATAAAACAAAAAGAACTAAAAAGAGGAGAAAAGACATAATATGTATTACCATCTTTGATATCCCGTCCACACATATCTTTTTGAAATAACTTAATTGAGATATAATTGACATGTTGTACAATCCATCTACTTACACAATGTCACTTTTAGAACTTTCTACCCCAAAGAAACCCTCTCTGGATGAGGAGTGGCTCCCTGTCATCTTCCAGTCCCTTTGGGCAGCCACCAATCTACATTCTTGTTCACAGCTTTACTTATACTTTTACCACTCCACACATGTGGAATCATATGTCATGGGGTCTTTTTTTTTTTTTTTCTTTGTCTTTTTGAGGCAGGGTCTCACTATGCAGTTCAGGCTGGCATTGAACTCACTTTGTAGCCCAGGCTGGTCACAAACTTGCCATGAGGCTTCTGCCTCAGCCTCCATAGTGCTGGGATTACAGGTGTGTGCCACCATGCCCGGCTCATTTTTTATTTTGAGACAGGGTGTTGCTAAGTTATTAAGTTGCCCAGGCTGGCCTTGAACTTGTGATCCTCCTGCCTCAGCCTCCCAGAGTGCTGGGATCCTAGGTGTGTGGCCCTCACGTCTGGCTCAGTTCCCCCCTCCCTGATTTTATTCTCTGGTGCTGGACGGAGGACTTGCATCCCAGCCTCAGGTGCTCCTGTCCTTGGGAAGGTCCGGGAAAGCAGAGAGCAAAGCCAGCTCACCTTCTCCCATTTACCAGATGCACAACTGAGGCCGGCTCCATTGAAGAGGCTGGGGTGAAGCCTGCAGCCCAGGAGCACAGGGCCTGGTTGGAGATCAGCGGCGCCTTCCTCCCCCGCGCCTGTTACATCACACCTTCCCGGGAAGAGGTGTCCCGCGGGTGTCGGATCAGCGTGTCCTGTGTCCTGGGCTGGAGCCTCTGCTTGTTTTCTGTTTACCCTGGAGGTGCCCGGGCCGAGTCCCTGATAAGCGCAGCTCTGTCTCCTGAGCCCATCAGGCCGCCCTGCTGTGTGACCTCGGGGTGGCGTCGCCTAACCTCACCTGGCCTCAGTTTCCCCGGGAGACGAGTGCTGCTGTCGGCCGGGCCCTGTGGGCAGAGAGATCACAGCAGCGGAGCACCGGCCCTAAGTTAGGGCTGCAAGAGTGGGAGCTGCGCCCTTTTTTGTTTCGGGGGATCTGTTTGTTTTGAGGCAAGGTTCAGGCAGCCTTGAACTCCTGGCAATCCTCCTGCCTCAGCCTCCAGAGTGCTGGGATGACAGGCGTGCGCCACCATGCCCAGCTTTCCTGGTTGCTGTTTCTAGAACCACCCAGCCTGCTTTCATTTTCTTTCCCACACAATCATCCCTACCTTCCCTTAGGTACGGCCCGTCTCCTCCCCATTGCCACAGACCCTGAGCTGGAGACTTTGCCTGTTTTGTCCACTGCTAAACCCCCAGGCCTGGAACGGGCCTGGCACACAGTAGGTGCTCAGTAAACAATGCCCACACATTGCCTAATGAAACAAAGAGAAGGATATAGAAAACCCCAGAGCCATCACCCAGCAGGCACCGTCTGGGGGGTCTGGGGGGTTTGTAAGGATCTCACCACTCTCTCCGAGGGCGCCCCTCCCCAGCCTGGTTGTTTCCTGCTCCCTGTCTCTGTGAACGCACCCCTACATACAGAATGCCCTTCCACGGCCTGCAGACCCCAGCCCTCAGCAAACTCCAGCGGTGACCTTGGAAACCCTGCTCAAGGGTAATGCAGGATGATTCTAACCCCTCCCTGGTTCTATCTTTGCTGCTTCTATTGATATGACCAGGACGTACATGGGAGCAAGATGATAGGTTTTATCTAAAAAGCTATTGTTCCATATCCATGTGCTACGTAACCAACGCCCCAGTGGTTACATGATTGTTTTCTTGCTGAAATGAGCCTGATGCAGTCAGGCCTCCCTTGTGTGGGGCCTCATACGTCACCCCTATGGCCCTCACTGTACGTGTTGGTGCCTGGGCCTTCTCATTTAGGTCACCTGGCTTCGGGCCACGGATCGATTTGGTAAAGAACTCACGGAGTCTCCTCTGGGCAATTCGATGTCGACCCCTCCCAGCTCTGCGTCATCTCCGAATGTGACAAACAGCCTGGTGGTGGCCCTGGTGTCTAAAGGTGGCCACCGTGGCCAAGGTCGGGACCCCCTACACTCCCCTCTGGGGGCATCATCCCCCATCAGCAAACATGACAGGTGGAGGTGGCCGGGACAAATGTCCTGGGAGGAGATTTGTCAAAGCTCGTTGAGAAATCGAGATTTTTGTTTGTGTTTTAGAGACAGGGTCTCGCTGTGTAGCCCAGGCCGGCCTCAAGCTCCCATCTTCCTGCCTCAGCCTCCTGGGCACTGGGATTATAGATGTGCACCACCGTGCCAGGCTAGGGCTGTGAATTAAGACTCGGGACAGGCGCATCCAGGGTGAACGTCCTTCAAACCCTGGCCTAAGGGCCCTGCTCAGGTCAGTGTCCCGAGCATGGCTTTGTGTCTCTCCTGGGCAGGGTGGCCCGGGCCCCCAGGGTCTTGCCCTCCAGGACAGCGGTCCTGGTCCCGTGGGAGGCACTTCTCTGGAAGGCAGCGTCTTCTCGGATCGGGCGTCCTTGGACTTGGCCGAGGTGCTGTGACCCCGTCCTCGTCCGGGTGTGGGAGGCCCGGTCTTCCGCCCAGCTCTCTGTGCACGCTGGGCCGATCTCAGACCGAGTCCCCAGCTGTGTGTCACTCTCCCGATCAGCCTCCTCCTTGGCCTGCAGAGCAGTGACAGGGGTCGGGGCCACCATGGAAGTCGGGGGGAGCTGGTGCAGGCACAGAGGCTCCGACCCCTCAGTTCCCTCGCCCCTGGGGAGAGAAGGGTGAAACAGAGTTCCATGGACAATGGGGGGCTGCCTGGGGGCTGTGGGGTGGCCTGAGGTGTGGGACATGCGTGGCTGGCCAAGGTGGCCGTGACCTGGCCGCCTCGGGGCTCCCCACAGTCCCCTTCGTCCCTGCTCCGTGTCCCGGGGTGGGGGCGGCTCAGTGTCTGATTCCGCATCCTCTGTGGAAACAGCCACCTTCCAGGCCAGCACTCGGCGATACCAGGACCCCGCGCCCAGCATCACACACACGTGCGTCACCAGTTGCCACCTCTGCGCATTGCCCGTCACCCCTTCTACAATAGCGCCGACAAACGCAGTGACAGCCATCAGCACAACACACAACCTGCCCTTCCAGCGTGTCTGTGTGTCTGCGGGGCAGCTCGGCCGAGCCCACCACGCCCGCCCGCCGGGGAAGCAGCGTCTCAGCCCCGCCTCATGGTGGAGGGGTCTGGCCCAGAGAGGTTGATAAATTCAGCCAAGGTCACGCAGCCAGGAAGCCCCAGAGCTGCTCTCTGTACGGGAGCTGGCCCAGGGTCTCTGTTCAAGCTACTAGGCCCCTCTGGGCCAGAAATCCTACTACTGCTTGTTATTTGTCCTTGGATTATATATATAT